GGAGTCACACAGGGCCAGATCTGTGAATGAGGTGACTCGGTGACGATTTTCCACCCGGCTGCCTTTCCGTCCTCAGTCAGCGGCGTTCGCTGTACTCAGGAAAGCGGGCACCCAGGTGCTGTGGGAAGAGACGCGGATGACGGGGACGGGTGTGTTCGAGGTGAGCCCGAGGACTTTGAGCGCGATTCATGGCAGTGTGTGAGTTTTGCTTCAGTTTTTATTTTCATTACCACGTGCTGCAGTGCATGATGATTATATTTCTTGTGGGGAGTTGGTGCCTGTGCATAACCCATCTAAGTCCTTTTTCATCCCTTTATTCCTCTCCCTTGTTGCCCTCCTCCCATCTCTTGATCCCCGTCCCATTTGAGGAAGATCCATCCCCCTACTTCCTGTTACTCCTTTCTTTTATTTGCTCTTTATTTACGTTCTCGGGTCAGAGAAACCATATGATATCTAAAGCTTATGCATCTGATTTTTTTTTTTTCACTTAACATTATGGTCTCAAGGTGCATCCACTTTCCTGTGGATGACTCGAGTTTACCTTTCTTCACAGCAGAATTAAAAAGCTTCTCCACAGCAAAGGAAACCACCAACATAGCCAAGAGACAACTTACAGAATGGGAGAACATTTTCTCCAGGTATTTCTCAGACGGAGGACTAATATTTGAATACACAAAGAACACACATAGAAAGGCAGACACCCCCCCCACCACCAAAGTAAAAGACCCAGTCAAAACATGGGCAATTGAAATGTCTAGACAGACCCCCCCACCAAAGTAAAAGACCCAGTAAAAAAAAAATGGGCAATTGAAATGTCCAGACAGAAGTGCTCTCACACCCTTACATGTGATCACCCGTTGCTCTGTTGCATTTTGTCTTCATGGCATCCCTTACAGAGTATCTCTTAGACCCAGAGGTCTTTTGCATTTCCTTGTTCTGTCTCTGTCCTGCCTGGCTTGGTCTGCAAACATCAGGAGGTCTTCCACGGCACCATCTCTTCTTGTCTGTGAAAATGTGGGGACCCCATGGCTTGATGTTTGACATGAAGATTACAAACCATGCAGTCGGAATCAGAGCTTCACAGTGGGTGTCCGGGTGACTGCGGATGTTACTGTCTTCCTAGTCCTTGTCCTTAGAAGTCGTCCCCCACCCTACAGCGCTTTACCCCCTTCTCCACTGCCTCCCCCACCCTTCACCTTCCATGGCCAAGTCTTCTGATGTCTCCACTGCCACCGCATCCAGACCTTTTCCCAGCCCCTTCCCTGCCTCTCAGCGTCCGCAGCTCCACATCCGGAGCAGCCAAGCCCCCACCCCAGACGCACAATGCCCCATTCCGTCCCTCTCCACTCTGCTGCCGGGAGGGGCTTCCTCACTCCCTCCTGTGGTCCTTTAGCATCTGTCAGCTGAATTCCCGACCCTCCTGGGTCCTGGCTTGGCTTCATGAGGCTGCACCTTTCGGGGCTCCCGTTCTTTGAGCCTTCCCATGTCTAAGTGCCCTGCTTTCCCCTCGGACCCATCAGCAGCACCCCTGAGGTCTCCTTCCTGTCCCCCGACTCCCGCAGTCCCCTCCTCTCTGTTTGCTCTGGGTCCACACTGCTGCGCATGGAGGGGGTCCCCATGGAGAATGAAGTCTGGTCCGCGTGTCCTGCTCTAAGTGTGAATGTCCAGAGCTCGCATCCGGCTTGGCCTCGCCTCTGCTGTGTGGCCTTCAGCAGCCACGTTTCTCTCTGAGCCTGTTTCCTCTGCTTCCTCACCCTGCCCCCAGCCACAGACACGGCGCTGCGCCTTCTGAGCCCCCCACTCCAAGACACCTACTGCCCCTCCATGCCCGGCTCTTTCCAGCAGAGCCTCTCTCCCGTGCTGGCCTGTCCTCCTCCGTGTGGCTTCTCATGGTTACATCATTTCAGTGTTACTGTTCCAAGCTTATCTTTCCCGGTAGCTCTGTTATCCATGGACTTTGCTAGGCCATCTGTGTATTGATTTGGGGTCCTGGGGATTGAACTCAGAGTCTTCTCAATGAGCTGTATTGAAGCCCTTATTAAAAAAAACAAAGTCTCATTTTGAGACAGGGTCTCCTTAAGTCACTAAGTTGCCCAGGAGCGCTGGGCTGGAACTTGGAATCCTCCTGCCTCAGCCTCCCAGAGAGCTGGGGTTATAGGTCACAGGTTCTACCGTTTTCTTTTCCTACCCCGCATCTCTGACAGTTCGCTCTTCTCAGTCACGTTACTCTGTCCCCAATTCACCCTGCCCATTCCCCGGGGAAGCAGTGGGTTCTTCCCTTTCCCTCAGGGAAGCCCTCCGCTGGCCACTTGACGCACTCAGATTTTCTAGAAGAGGGGAGACAGTGAAGTCGAAGCTCAGAGAGGGATGTCTTGCTTAGGACCACGCAGCAGAGATGAGGCAGCGCTGGGATTTGAACCTGTGGCAAAGAGTAGTAAAAATGTCTTCCGCGGTCAGCGTCAAAGTCACCCTGGCTCCTTCCTTTCATGAGGCTCCTGGCAAGAATAGCATAGAGCCTTGCTTCCTCACCGTGTTTTCAGATTAATCTCCCTTTAAGGTTTTTGTTTTGTTTTTTTCAGTACGGAGGATTGAAACCTTCAGTACTGGGAATTCAGTCCTGAGCTACATCCCTGGTCCTTTTTAGTTTTTATTTGGAGACACAGGTCTCCCGACATCTCTAAGTTGCCCAGGCTGCACTCGAGTGCGTGACCTTCCTGCCTCAGCCTCCCAGTGACTTGGGATGACGGGAGTGTGTCACCGTGCTTGGCTCCATTTAAAATATTTTTGTGGGATTTTTTTTTTTTGGGGTGGAACAGTGCTAAGGGTGGAGCCTGAGGCCTTATGCGTGCTGAACACATGCCACGGCTGACCCGTGTCCCTGGCCCCTTTTGTACGTTTTGACTCTTAGAGTCACAGGGTCAAAATCTGCAGGTAGGAAGCGAGGACAGTGCACTCGTTCCCCTTTCCTGTGCCTGGCTGCTCAGTTCCTTTCTCCAGAGACAACCAGAGTTGCAATTCTTTTGTTTTGTTTTTTGGTTTTTGAGACAGGGTCTCACTGTGTAGTTGAGACTGACCTGGAACTCACTGTGTAGCCCAGGGGGGTCTCAAACTCACAGTGATCCTCCTGCCTCAGCCTTCTAAGTGCCGGGGACAACAGGTGTGCGCCACCCTGCCCGGTACCATTTTTAAGTGTGTGAAGAAAAACTTAAATTTGTCTTTCATAACCCATGAGAAATATATGTAACTTAGATTGCAATTTTTTCTTCCTCTTCAAAAATGTTTTATTAGTACGTGTTTGCAATACATAATAAGCACATTCAAGGTGAGGAATTGGTCCCTACATGTTTTGCATCTTCGTTCCTTTCTGTCCCCTTCTCCTCTCCCTCCTGTCTCCTCCCATCCTGGAAACCCCATCTCCACAGAATCTACCCCCGCCCCCAGTTTTTTAACACCTGTCTTTTCTTTTTTTCTTCCCCGTACTGGGGATTGAACTTGTGTCCTTGCGCTTGCGAGGCAGGTGATGGAACCTCTGAGCTAAATCCCCGGCTCACAGTTATATCACTGTCGCCGAGGCCCGATCGGGTGCCAGGCCATCTGGGAGGTCCCAGGGAGACCCAGGTTCCCGGGCCCCATCTCCGTGGTCTGTGGGTCGGCAGGGGGAGGCGTCCCAGAACCTGCGCCTCCCAGCGGACGGTGCTGAGGCTGCTGGCCCTGGACTGGGGTTGCTCGGACTCCCCCGTGGAGGGGCAGCTAGGTTGCTTCCATTCTGGGGGCTGTGGGTAGTGCCTGGGCGCGACACCTGCAGAGAGCACTGTTGCGTGCCTGGGCCAGCAGAGCCTGTGTTGCTGACGGTCCCTGGCCCGGCACAGTGGCTCTGTAACTTAGCTCAGCTCTGCGCGGCGTGGGTCGTTTTCTCTGGGGCCCCGGGCTGGCTTCTACTCTGTCTCCTGCCCTCCTTGCCGTGTGTCTACCTGCTCTTCCACTCGACCATGCCAGGAGAGCCGAAACCCAGAGGTTTGAGTCACCCGCTCACTGCCTCACAGCTGCCGACGGGCAAAGCTCGCCTTCCCACCCAGGCTCTCCGACCTCGCATTTGTGAAGTTTGTTCTGTTGCTTTCGTCTTTTCGCTCTGCCTGCTGCCACATCGCTGCCTGTTTATTCTATTGATAAATGACCTCCTTACTCTGTTGTCGCCTCCTCCTGCGCCTGGCGTGATGTCTAGCACACTTGGATGCCTGGGACGTTTGTTGAAGGGCTACAAGGGTGATTTCCTCATGGCTGACTTGCTGCTTCCGGAACCCGAGTTAGAATCCAGGTGCCCGGAGGCTGCTGCTTGCTGCTTAGCCCCCGCCCCCATTTTTGAGGCCCCCGCCCCCATTTTTGAGGCATGGTCTCACTATGTAACCCAGGCTGGCCTCCAACTCGAAGGGACCCTCCTGCCTCAGCCTCTTGAGTACTGGGCTTACAGGACCAAGGGCATGCAGCACCCTGCCCAGCTTACAGACTCTTTAAGGGTTTCTGATTCCCTAGTTTCCATCCGTGCATCCACGTCACACAGGGGCATCAGAGCAGGGGCGAGAAGTTGATCCCGTGGGGTTTCTAAAACTGGTATGGGGAGAGACCTGACACTTGTACGCTGGCCTTGTTGAGGCAGGACCCCTGAGTTTAGGAGGAAGCTGTTCTAAGACTGGAAATAACGCAGAAAGGGACATATGGGCCCCAGCATAGGTCAGCGGGGCGCGTTTGAAGAACCCTGAGACAGGAGCAGCGGCGTTGGGATACGGAGGACAGAAAGGTGTAGGGACTCGCCAGACTTCCAGAATCTTCTAGATTCTTCTTTCCCTGCCTTTCTTGTTCTACCTCCCCCTGCTCTTCTCACGGTGGAGGGCAAAATAAGGGAAGAGGAAACACTTTTCAAGACTTTACCAAGCTTCTCTCCTCCTGGAAAATTCTGATTCCTAGGAATCGAGGACTAGCGCTGTCCAGTAAGACCAAGGGAAATGCATCTCAACTCTGTCCAGTGTGACAGCCGCATCTGCCTCTTCAGCCCTCGAAATTGTGGCCGGTGAGAATGAATTTTTCAGTTTTGTCGAATGCTAACTGCCGTAAACGTCAACACACACTTTCCCGCCACCTTAATTCATTTAGGTAGAAAGAAATCAGTACACGGTTGGGCACGGTAGTACACACTTGTCATCCTAGCAGTCTGGGGGCTTGAGCCAGGAGGGTCACAGGTTTGTACCCATCCTGGGCAAATTAGCAAATTAAGAGACCCTGTCTCAAAATAGAAAAAAAATTTAAAAGACTGGAAATGTAGGTCAGTGCAAGGTCTCTGGGCTCAATACCCAGCGCAGTAAAAACCAAATCAAACCAAACAAACAATAAAAGTGGATTCTGCAATTAGAAAACTCTAGACTGTGTTTAGACTAATTTGGATATATGGACCTCCCTTTTCCTTATAACCCAACTTTTCTTTCCTTCCTCCTCTTTTTTTTTTTTTTCTCATTGAGTTTATTGGTACATTTTAGGGATACAGTACAGTTACAGTCATCATTGGGATCTTGTACCTTTACATGACAGGTCTTGGTTCTCATTTTTCCCCTTGTCCCTGCCCTCCCTTTACCCCTCCTCCCTCCCCCTTTACAAACACTTCATTTCCATTTTTTCATTTTCTCCCATTTTTTTCTTTTTCCTTCCTCCTCTTTTTCTCTCTCTGTCTCTCTGCTCCACCCCTCTTCCCAGTGATTGAACCCAGGACCTTAGCATGGACGTACATCTCCAGTCCTTTTAAAATTTTTACAAGACAGGGTCTCATGAGGCTGTTAAGTTGCCGAGGCTGGACTCTGAGCCTGTGATCCTCCTGCCTCAGCCTCCCAGAGTGCTGGGATACAGGTGTGCTCCACTATGCCTGGCCTTAGGCATATTTTAGCAAGAATGAAGAAAGTAAAATCACAGTACAGGAGTCCACGAATATGGTTGACACATTTATCTGCTGGCTGGGCTGGACTTAACGATAGGGCCATGGTCCCATTGGTACCATTTGTTTCTCACAAAAATGTGCATGGAAACCTGTCATCCCAGCTACTCGGAAGGGTGAGGCAGGGGGATTGCAAGTTCAAGACCAACCTGGTCAATTTAGGGAGAGCTTGTGTTTAAAAAGGGCTGGGGATGTTGCTCAGTGGTAGAGCACTTGCCTAGCATGTGTGAGGCCTTGGGTACGATACTCAATACTTAAAAAACAAAACAAAACAAAAAACTACAGCTATGTCTACATAGACATGTACGTGTGGGGGGAGGAGCAGCACCTCCTCCAGGGTTATTTTTAGAATTCAGCAGGAGGATGTGTGCTTCGGAGCATGGGCCAAGCTCTTGCCACAGTAGGCTCCGAGGATCCTGCAACCCGCTCCCCTCCTCTGCCCGCCTGAGAGAGGCCGTGACCCAGGTGCCTCTTACCAGGAACTGGACTTGTCCTGGCTTGTGGG